AGAGGGGGGGAGAGGGAGAGAGACAGGCAGGCAAGCAGGCAAGCCGGTAGGCAGACAAACAGGCAGACAGACAGACAGACAGACAAACAGACAGACAGACAGGCAAACAAACACAGAGGCAGACATAGAATCCCTCTGGCTAGTCCTCCCCCCCTGTCTGTCGTTCGTGTCTGTCTGTCTCACTGCGAGAGCCTTGGTTTAATGTGATTAAAACAGAGTCACTTTGGAAGGACATTTGTTTTTTTTCTTTCTTTTTTTTTCTTTTCGTACTGTGGCTCTTTTATTCCGCTTGTCATCTCTTTTCATTGTGATTATTGTTGTTATTGTTATTGATGTTATTTCTGTTTGTTGTTGTTGTTGTTTTCGCGATTTCTGTTGTTGCTGCATGTTTTTATTTTTGTTTTATTGTTTTTCTTTGTTTTATTGTTTTTTCTTCTTTCCCGTTTCTGCTGATTTTTTTTGTTATTGTTGTTCCTGTTGCTGTTGCATTTTTTTTCTCTTTGTTTTTCCTTTCCTTGTAAGTTTTCTTCTTGTTTCTGCTGAGTTTTTGTTATTGGTATTCTTGGTGTTGTTGCATTTTTTTGTTGTTATTGCATTTCACTTTGTCGTTTCTGCTGAGTTTTTGTTTATGTTTCTTCCTTTTTTTAGAATATTTTTACTGTTGCTGACTATTTTTCTTTTTCTTTTTTTTCTTTTTTTTTCTTTTTTTTGATTGTCGAGAGGATTGCAATCGTTTTGATATTTCTTCTTGTAATCTTGTTTCTTTTTTTTTCCTTTTTTATTTTTTATTTTTTATTATATTTTTTCGTTTTATTGTAATTACTGTGCTTGTTATTGATGTTGTTGTTAGTGGTGACGGTGTTGGGTGTCCCAATTTATTTTTTCTTTACTTTTCTGCTTTTTTCTTCTTCCGCATTCTTTCGTTCTATTTTTTTCTGTTCTTTCTTGTTTCTCTTTCCATCTCCTTCTGTTGTTTTTGTTATTATTATTGTTATTTATTTTTTTATGTTATTTTTATTATTATTATTATTAATTATTATTATTATTATTATTATTATTATTATATTATTATTATCATCATCATCATCATCATCATCATCATCATCATCATCATTCATCATCATCATCATCATCATCATCATCATCAATCAATCATCATCATCATCATCATTCATCATCATTATTTTATTTATTTATTTTTTATTATTATTATTATTATTATTATTATTATTATTATTATTATCATTATTATTATTATTATTATTATTATTATTATTATTTATTATTATTATTATTATTATTATTATTATTTATTATATTATTATTATTACATCATCATCATCATCATCATCATCATCATCACTGTTTTTATTATTGTTATTATTATTATTATTATTATTATTATTATTATTATTATATTATTATTATTATTATTATTATTATTATTATTATTATTATTATTATTCACTGTTTTTATTATTATTATTATTATTATTATTATTATTATTATTATTATTATTATTATTATTATGTCATCATCATCATCATCATCATCATCATCATCATCATCATTTCATCATCATCATCATCATCATCATCATCATCATCACCATAATTTTTTCTTATTTTGTTATTATTGATGTTTTTATTATCATTCTCCTTATTTTTATTACCATTATCTTTCACATCACTATTATTATGCCGAGACGACCAGTGCCATCCCCCCCGGGCCAGCCTCCGAAGGCACTCCCCCCACCAGTGCCATCCCCCCCCTCCCCCCGGGCAAGCCTCCGAAGGCACTCCCCCCACCAGTGCCATCTCCCCCCCCCCCCCGGCAAGCCTCCGAAGGCACTCTCCCCACCAGTGCCATCCCCCCCTCCCCCCGGCCAGCCTCCGAAGGCACTCCCCCCCCAGTGCCATCCCCCCCCTCGGACCAGCCTCCGAAGGCACTCCCCCCCTTAGTGCCATCCCCCCCCTCCCCCGGGCCAGCCTCCGAAGGCACTCCCCCACCAGTGCCACCCCCCCTCCCCGGGCCAGCCCCGAAGGCACTCCCCCCACCAGTGCCACCCCCCCCCCCGGGCCAGCCTCCGAAGCACTCCCCCCAGGTGCCATCCCCCCCCTCGGGCCAGCCTCCGAAGGCACTCCCCCCAGTGCCATCCCCCTCCCCCCGGGCCAGCCTCCGAAGGCACTCCCCCACCAGTGCCACCCCCCTCCCCCGGGCCAGCCTCCAAAGGCACTCCCCCCCCCCTTAGTGTGCCACGGCTGCTCGACCTCCGCCGCCTGGGCATAGAAGCCCCAGGAGTTCAAGGTCGGAGAGATCGTTCACTTTAAATGTTCAGATTTCTGTGTTGACATTTCGACATTGGTTGGGGGGAGGGGTGGGGGTGGGTGGGGTGTGTGGTGGGTGGGTGGGGGAGGGGTTCTTTGTTATTGTTTTTTTTTGGGGGGGTGGGGAAGGAGGGGGGAGAGGGAGAGGGAGAAGGGTAGGGGAGAAGGGAGGAGAGGGAGAGGGAGAGGGAAGAGAGAGAGGAGAGAAAGGAGAGGGAGAGGGGAGGGAGAGTGGAAATTTTCTTTATTATTGTTTTTTGTGTGTTGTAAGTGTTGTATCGCTGTTGTTGAATGGTCGGTTTTGTTGTTGTTGTTTTTGTTGTTCTTTGTGTAAACTTTCCTTGGATTGTTTTGAGGTGTTAGGATGTTGTCGTTATGTTGTTTTGTTGTCTGTTCTTTATTTATTTATTATTTTTATTTTATTTATTTTTTTATTTTATTTTTTTTTTTTTATTGTGTCGTTGTTGCCTTTTGTTGATCATCGCAAACGGTTTGTTGTTGTTGTCCGTTATCATTTCTATTGAGAAAATGGTGTGAATGCTCTTGCTTCACTTATTATGCTTTGCCAACGACAGCTTGCTTGTTTCATCATGGCTTGACAGTGTTACTTGTACTTGCTTGGTTGACACTGGTTTGGTTGCTTCACCTGGCTCTCTGGTTTCGTCTCAGCTGTTTTACTTCACCTGGGATTGTCTGCTTTTGCTTCATTTTGCGTCTCAGCTGTTTTACTTCACCTGGGATTGTCTGCTTTTGCTTCATTTTGCGTCTCAGCTGTTTTACTTCACCTGGGATTGTCTGCTTTTGCTTCATTTTGGTCTCAGCTGTTTTACTTCACCTGGGATTGTCTGCTTTTGCTTCATTTTGCGTTCAGCTTTTTCAACCTCCTCTGTTTGCTTGTTTCATCCGCTTGCTTGTCAGTTCCTTGACCAAGGGCTTGCTTGATTCACCCTGCGTCACTCCGGAACTAGCATTTGCCTCTCCCTTCCTCCTCCTCCCTCTCCCCCTCCCTCTTCCCCCTCCTCTCACCAGCCTACCTCCGCTATCCCCTCTTACCGTCTCCCCTCTTCCTCTCTACCTCTACTCCCCCCTCTCATCTCCTCTCCTCCTCTCCTATTCTTCTGCCCCCTTCCCCCTCTACCCCTCTCACTCCCTCCTCCACCTCTCACTATCCGTACTCGTCTCCCTTCCCCTCTTCCTCTACTCCCCGTCCCCCCCTCCCCTCTTCTCCCTCCTCTCCTCCCCTCTTCCCCTCTCCCCCCTCCCCCATCCCCTCTCCTCTCCTATTCCCTCTCCTCTCTCACCTCTCCCTCTCCTCTCCCTCTTCCTCTAACCCTCTTCTCATCGGGTCGTTCAACGCCCCCCCCTCCCCTCCTCTCCCTTCCCCTCCCCTCCCCTCCCCTCCCCGTCCCTCCCGTGAGATAAGCGCTATCTCTTTTCCTTCGCGTTGGTCACTGGCCGTCACGTGTTCTGTATTATGCGATGGGAGATATCTCGCGCGGGGTGGAAGAGAGGTGGTGGGAGGAGAGGGTTGGGTGGGAGGGGGAGGGGGGGAGGGAGAAGGGTGGTGGAGGGGGAGGGGAGAGGGGTGGGTGGGAGGAGGGATAGGGAGAGGGTGGTGGGAGGGGGAGGGAGGAGAGGGGTGGTGGGAGGGCAGGGAGAGGGTGGTGGGAGAGGAAAGGGGAAGGGGAAGAGGGAAGAAAGAGGCGAGGTGATGATTAAGGGAGTGGAGAGGAGCGAAGAGAGAGGCGGAGGAGGAGGGGAAAGGGAGGGAGAGTGGAGGGAGAAAGGGATGGAGGTTGGTTGGGAGAGAGGAAGGAGAGGGTGGAAGGGAAGAGGGGAGGGAAGGGAGGAAAGAAAGGAAGAGAGGAAGGAGTGAGAGGGAAGGGAGGAAAGAAAGGAAGAAGAGGAAGAGGAGGGAGAAGGCGAGACGGAGATCGAAGGAGTGGGAGAAGATGGAAGAGAAAAGAATAAGGGAAGGAGAGTGGGATGAGGAGGGTGGGCTAAAAATGGAGGTAGGGGATAGAGGAAAGGAGGAGGAGGGAGGTGGAAGAAGCGAGGGTGGTGATAGAGGATGGAAGTGAGAGGACAGAGGAGAAAGATAGGGGAAGGCGAGACGAAGAGAAAGAGTGGAATGAAGAGAGAATTTAGATGTAGGGGAAGAGGCAGAGGAGATGGAGAGAGGGGGGGGGCGGGGTAAAGGGAGGTGGAAAAAAGGGGGGGGGCCGGGAGGGAAAGGGGAAAGGTAAAGAGTAGGAGGGAGAGAACAAAAGAAGCGGGAGGAAGGGGAGAGAAGGGGAGTTGAAAGAGAAAGAGAAAAGAAAAAGGAGTAAGACAAGTATGCTCATGTGTATATATACTTCGTATAAAGATAGGATGGCGTGTTTGAATTGTTGTTTGTGTGTGTGTGTGTGTGTGTGTGTGTGTGTGTGTGTGGTGTGTGTGTGTGTGTGTGTGTGTGTGTGTGTGTGTGTGTGTGTGTTGTGTGATGTGTGTGTGTGTGTGTGCGTGTGCGAGTGCGAGTGGGCATGTTCGTGTGTGTGTGGTGCATGCGTGTGTGTTGTGCGTGCGTGCGTGTTGCGTGCGTGTGTGTCTTTAGCAACGATTCGCTGTCCGTATTTCCTCGCCTCCTTTGGCTGTCCTCCGGGTTTCGCGTGACAGAACGGAACACCTGCTTATCCCCAGCCACTAAGAGGGGGAACACTTTGCCTTCGAGATTCCCCCAAGCAGCCGCGGACGGGTGAAGGCCCGGCGGATCCCGTTCCTCCCGATTGTGGACTGGAGGGGAGTGACTGGCTGACTGGCGAGGGACCTGTGGAGTGACTGGGCGAGGGCTGTTGGGGGATGACTGTTGGCGAGGGGCTGTTGGGAGTGACTGGCTGACTGGCTGACTGGCGAGGGACTGTTGGGAGTGACTGGCTGACTGGCTGTGGCTTTTGGGGAGTGACTGGCTGACTTGGCGAGGGGCTTGTTGGGAGGAGGACTGGCTGACTGGCTGAGGAGTGACTGGCGAGGGACTGTTGGGAGTGACTGGCTGACTGGCGAGGGACTTTTGGAGTGACTGCTGACTGGCGATGGGCTGTTGGGAGTGACTGCTGACTGGCTGACGGCGAGGACTGTTGGGAGTGACTGGCTGACTGGCTGACTGGCGGAGAACTTTGGAGTGACTGGGAGTGACTGGCTGACTGGCGAGGGACTGTTGGGAGGAGTGACTGGCTGACCGGCGTGAGACCGTGAGCTCGCCGCCAGTCACCAAAGGCGGTGCATGATGCCATTTTCGCGAGTATTATCTTGGATGGGTTGGCAGATGACGGGGATTTAGGTGTACTTGGTGCTCGTTTTGGGGGAGTTTGAGGTTGTTAGGAGTTATTAGGTGACACTTGCTGTTGAGAGAGGGGGGGAGAGGGAGAGGGGAAAGGGGAGAGAGGGAGACTGAAAAGAAGAGGCAAGAGAGAGGAAGAGGGAGGAATGGAGAAGATAGGGAGATGAAGAGGGAATGGGGAAGAGAGGGGAGGGAGAGGGAGAGAGAGGAAGATGGAAAAGAGAGGTCGAGGAAGAGGAAGAACGGAGAGGGAGAGAGAGACAGAGAGAGAAATATAAGGAAAGAAAGCAACAAAGGAAAAGAGAAAGAGAAGGAGACTGGGAGATCAGGAAAAGGGAAATGAAGGAGCAGGAATATAAAAGAAGAGAAGGGAAACACGGAGAACAGAAGCCTCGGCGGCGGCGATAAAGGCTCGCCATCTTATTCTGGCCGAAATAGGGCTGTTTGGGCAGAAAGGGTGATTACGCTACGGGAGGGAGGGAGGGAGGGAGAGAGGAGGGAGAGGGAGAAGAGGGAGAGAGAGGGAGGGAGAGAGAGGGAGGGAGGGAGAGAGAGGGAGGGAGGGAAGGAAGGAGGGAGGGAAGGAGGGAAGGGAGGAGCGTGGAGGGAAGAGGGAAGGGAAGGAGGGAGGGAGGGAAGGGGGAGGGAGGGAGGAGGGGAGAAGGGAGGGAGGGAGGGAGGAGGGAGGAGGGAGGGGGGTAGGGGAAGGGAAGGAGGGAGGGGAGGGAGGGGAAGGGAGGGAGGGAAGGAGGGAAGGGAGGAGGAGGGAAGGGAGGGGAGGGAGGGAGGGAGGGGAGGAGGGAAGGAGGGANTATCTTCTTCTTCTCCTTTTCTATCTTCTTCTCCGCTTCTTTTTTTCTTCTCATTTTTTTCTTCTCATTCCCTTCTTCTTTTCTTCTTCTTCTTCATCTTCTCTTCTTTTTCTTCTTCTTTTCTTCTTCTTTTTCTGGTCTTCTTTTTGCTTCTCTACTTTTTTCGGTGTTCTACTTTTTTCTTCTCCTTCTATGCTTTTTCTTCTTCTTGTTCTCTTTCTTCTTTTCTATTCTCCTTCGTCTTCTTCTTCTTCTTACCTGCTCTTCTCTCTCTTTCTTCTTTGCTTCTTCTTCGCTGCTTCTTCTTCTCTCAACATCATCAATCATCATCATCATCATCATCATCATCAATCTCATCATCATCATCATCATCATCAAATCATCAGCATCATCATCATCATCATTCATCATCATGCACCATCACCAAAACAATCCATAGAGAAAACATACCATCTTCACCCCGCCCCCTCCAACTCACACACACACACACACACACAAACCGAACAAACAAAGACACACACATACAAACGAACACAAACAATCAAACACATACATACACACAGCACATACACACAAACAAACACACAGCACGCGCACAAACAAAACAAACAAACACACACACACAAACAAACAAACACACACAGCCAAACAAACAAAAACACACACATACAAACAAACAAAACCAATCAAACACATACACACACATACAAACAGCATTACACACAAATACCAAACAAACACAGCATACACACCAAAAAACACCAACGCACTAACAAACAAACACGGCACAAAACAAAACAAACACGCAGCAAACAAAACGAACCACGCACAAACAAACAAACAAACAACACACACAACAAACAAAACACGCACAAACAAACAAACAACAAAACAAACACGCACAACAAACAAACAACACGCACAAACAACAACACACGCACAAAACAAACAAACAAACACGCACAAACAAACAAAACAAACACGCAAACAGAACAAACAAAGACACAACAAACAAACACAACACTAAAACCGACCCCATAGATCACCTCATCCGTTACATACCGCGACCGCTCCCTTCAACGCCTCTACGAGACGGATATATAAAGAGGGAGGAAGGGAGAGATGGAAGGGGAGAGAGAGAGGGCAGAGAAGATGGGGGGGGGAGGAGAACAGGCGAGAGAGAATGGGGGGAGAAGATGGACAAGGAAGAGGAGAGAGTGGGGGAGAGGGGGTGGAGGAGGAAGGAGATCGAGAGGGAGGAGTGGGGGCGAAGGGGAGTGCAAGGAAAGGAGGGAGGAGGGAGAGGACGGGAGAAGGGAAGAGACGAGGGAGAAGAGAGAGAGAAGAGAGAGAGAAGAGGAGAAGAGAGAAGAGAGAGATAGGAGAGAGAGAGAGAGAGGAGAAGGAAGGAGAGAAGAGAGACAGACCAGAGACAGAGACAGAGACAGAGAGAAGACAGAAAAGACAGGAAGCCAGTAGCCAACCAGACAGAGACAGAGAAAGTCAAGCCAAGCCAGAGCCACGACAGACCAACGAAAGAAAAAAAACAAAAAAACTGATAACCCATAACACGAGAAAAAAGCAGATAAAGGCAGCTGGACGGGCACGTATCTGGCACCGAGGATGAACGATGCACCAGGGAGAGGAGGGCAAGGTGACGGGGCAGAAGCGCCACAGGCCTACCTACATCTTCGATAATGGGTCGCTGAACATCAGTAGCGGCCTCTACGGTACCTGGAACGATCATGCGAACACGGGAGGGGGGGGCGGGGCTCGTGAGACACGCTCGTGAGACAAGGACGCGAGAGGCATGACGTTAATGCAGAAAGCGATAGGAGTAAACATAGCGAAGCATGATACGGCAATTTAGAGGCACAGCATGTAGGCAGAGGCGAAATAACACAGATAAAAGCAACACACCTACACACGCGCCACACACACACATACACACACACACACACACACACACACACACCACACATCACACACACACACACACACACACACACACACACCACACACACACCACACACACACACCTACACCTACCACACCACACACATAAAAAAAAACAGGCAGGCATTATAAAACACAGAACAACACGCAAAAAATGTAAACGCTCAGTACACAAAAATAAGAGGTTGTACAGGTACACCTTACCTCACAGTAGCGCATTGACCCCTACTTCGCGAACCCATTCAGGACCCTCCTCACCCTATCCACCACACAAAAAAAAGAGAAAGAAAAACAAGAAAAGAAAAGAAAAAAAAAAAAAATTGCAAAAAAGAAAAAAAAAAAAGAATCGGCCGCACCATTTCCCCAGGCTGGCATGTGCGTGCCTGGAAACGACCGCTACCACACCCGCTGCTTCCAGTCTCCCCCCCCCGTCCCTGCCCCACGCCTGTACCCCTCCCACGCCCACTCTCCCCTCCCTCCCTCCCTCCCTCCCTGGCCGCCTCCCTCCCTTCCCTTCCCTGGCCTCCCTCGCCTCCTTCCCCCTTCCCTCCTTGCCCTCCCTCTCCCTCCCTTCCCTCCTCCCTCCCCCTCCTCCCGTCCCTCCTTCCCTCCATCCCTCCTTCCCTCCCTCTCTGCCTTCCCTCCATCCCCTCCCTCCTCACTTCTCCTCGCCTCCCTCCTCCTTCCCTCCCTCCCTCCCTCTCTTCCCTCCCTCCCTCTCTCCCTCTTCCTCCCTCCCTCCTTTCCCTCCTCCCTCCCTCCTCTCCTCCTCCCTCTTCCCTCCCTACCCTCCCTCCTCCTCCCTCTCTCCTCCCTCCCTCCTCTCCTCCTCCCTCTCCTTCCCTCCCTCCTCCTTCCCTCCTTCCCCTCTCTCCTCCCCTCTCCCTCCTTCCCTCCCTCCCTCCCTCCTTCCCTCTCTCCCTCCCTCCTTCCCTCCTTCCCGTCCTCCCTCCCTCCCTCCCTCTTCCCTCCTTCTCCCCCCTCTCTCCCTATTCCACCGCGCCGCCGGCCGTTCTCGGCGGCACCCGCCATCGTGCAAGACCTAACCCTTGAACTGCCACGTGGCGTCGACCGACTAACAGTTACCTAATACTGAGTCACATCATACAATTAAGGGGCTGACGCGAGGAGTAGGAGGAGGGAGAGAGGGGAAGGAGGATAGGGAGGAGGGAAGGAGGAGGGATGGGAGGGAGAGAGGGAGGGAAGGAGGAGGAGGGATGGGAAGGAGGAAGGAGGGAGGGACGAGGGAGGGGAGGAGAGAGGAAGGAAGGAAGGAGAGGAGGGAGGGAGGGGAGGGAGGGAAGGAGGGAGAGGAGGAGAGGGGGAGGGAGGGAGGGAGGGAGGGAGGGAAGGAGGGTAAAGGAGGAGGAGAGAAGGAAGGGGAAGGAGGGAGGGAGGGAAGGAGAGGAGGGAGGGAAGGAGACAGAGAGGGAGGAAGGAGAGAGGGAGGGAGAGGAGGGAGGAGGGGAGGGAAGGAGGGAGAGGGAGGAGGGAGGGAGCGGAAGGAGGGAGGAGGAGGGAAGAGGAGGGAGAGGGAGGACGGAGGAGGAGGGAGGGAGGGAAGGGGAGAGGGAATGAGAGGAGGTGGAAGGAGGGATGGAGGGTAAGGAGAGAAGGAAGGAAGGGAGGGAGGGAGGAGGGAGGGAGAGGGAGGGAGGAGGGAGGAGGGAGGGAGAAGGGGAGGGAGGGGGAGGAGGGAGAGAGAAGAGGGAGGAGGGAAGGAGGGAGAGAGGGAGGGAGGGAGGGAGGGAGGGGAGAGTGGGCGTCGGGAGGGCGTACAGGGTGGGCAGGGACGGGGGGGGGGAGACTGGAAGCAGCAGGGTGTGGGCAGGGTGTCCAGGCACGCACATGCCAGCCTGGGGAAATGGTGCGGCCGCAAATTCTCTTTTTTTTTCTTTTTCTTTTCTTGTTTTTTTCTTTTCTTTTTTTTTGTGTGGTGGATAGGGTGAGGGAGGGTCCTGATGGTGCGAAGTAGGGGGTCAATGCGCTACTGTGAGGTAAGGTGTACCTGTACAACCTCTTATTTTTGTGTACCTGAGCGTTTACTTTTTATGCGTTTGTTCTGTGTTTATATGCCTGCCTGTTTTTTTTTTTATGTGTGTGTGTGTTGTAGTGTGTGTGTATGTGTGTGTGTGTCGTGTGTGCTGTGTGTGTGTTGTGTGTGTGTGTGTGTGTGTGTGTGTGT